CCACCACCCCCAGAATTGGGATTTGCAGTTTAAAACGGGTAACAAACTGCAATTAGTCAAGTTGGCCTCTGCTATGAATTGTTTATTCGATCTCTTGGACCTATTTGTGCAAGGTTGAGAAAAGGAAGCGTGCTTGCTTGCTTGCTTTGCGTTGCTCTGCTTCCAGTCGTCTTCGTCCTGCGTGCAGATGGCTAGGTCGAACTACTGTACGAAGTAATAATGGATGGGTAATAGATGAACGGGCCTAGGCGAGAACCACTTTAGAGGACAGGGTCGCAATTTGTTCCGTGATGCAGAAATAAAAGCTTAGGTATAGGGTACGGCACGTAGCTTGCTTGCTTGCTTGAATTTGAGAAGGTAAGACAGGTATGCGAATCATGCGATACTCTTCTGGGTCGAGAATCCTCCTTCGTTTCCCTTCCACCTCGACTTCTCCAGACGATGACAAGTCAAGCCAATGTGAGACCCGTTTGATTGTTTTGTTAAGATGGCGTGGTCCGTGATGCGTGGTCCAGGAGGATGTGGTATTGCGGCTTGGTAAGGGATTCGGGATGGACGGGGAAGGATAATAAACGAGACAGAGGTAATGTGAAGGGAAGGGGGAAAGTTTCGTGATATCTACTGATCTGTTGAGAGGGAAGAGAGAGAATGGTCTGTTGTGATGTTTTATCTCTGGTTGATACGAATACGTATAGATGTACAGATATGTGTATAATTTTATATATGTATATATGTATATACTACGTAGGTATCTACAAATAATGGTATGGCCACCATGAAGTAATATATAGAACTATTACTTAAAACAGATAGCTCTCAGCATCCAGGGAAACATAAATTAGTTCACCAAGTATGATACGAGTAACAAAAAAAAGATCATTTTGATTCCAGAACCATGCTACTCCATTCAGAAGAATTCTCTGGGCAAAAACCAGTGACATTCAATGTGTCCCTGAATCGTGCATCACAGATCGAAAAAGCTCTAAAAATCATTAGACTTGTAAAATCCAGTTAGATCATTTGGTTACCATCACATATCATGCTCGCTCGCCATGCTCCTCACGGGATGGCTACTCTCCGGTTCATTAGAGAAAACCCGTAGTTGGTAGGCTCAGCTCAGAAGCGTCACATCCCGAAGAATGCAACCGGCAGGATATGGCCTGGAGAGTTGTGACGAAACCCTCATATATTGTTTATCATTCATGGGTTTCAATGGAGATATTGACATATCTCATGCTCAATAGGTTTGGTGGTTGTCTTGAAGATATCATTGCTGGGACGAATGATCGGTTCTCAAGCTGAAGTTTTGAAGCGGTAGAAAAGGGTTTCAGCTCAGGGATATTTTAACTTTTCCATGGGCGATCCTCGATTCTCCGGGGTGAGGGAGAAATTCGGGGGACAGACTTTGATTTGGATATGTTTTGCCCTGGTTATGGAATAGGCATACCGAGAAACCTGTTGAAGTTGGAAGTTTGAAGTTTGGATCGATCGTTGAGCAAGTGTCATGAAGTTTCCACATTCCACATTCCATGGTCAAGGGATTGAGGAATTGGAGAGAGAGTGAGGCGTGAGGCGAGTGAGGGAATGAGGCTAGGGAGTTGTGGGAAGAAAGGTTCCCACTTTTTCATCTCACAGGGTTGTAGGAAGTTTTCTTCCGTTAGACATCCATAGAATGAGGGTTTTACGGGATATTCTGGATATTCTGGAAATAATGATCAAAAGATGTCGTCGAGATCTAAAGAGGGAATGATATGAAGGCAGTGCCGCAGTAGGGAAGCTATCTTCTACCGAATCGCCATGTAAATAATGTGATGAATATGTGATACCATGAATTTCGGATTGATGTATCGTATTCGTCTTTTTATTAATGTTACTATTGTCTCTTCTCACTATCTATTCTTAAAATTCTTATTGAAATCACATTTCTTTTGAATTCTCAAACGAAAGGTTCCAACTTCCAACCCCGCCTTAACCTTACAGAGAAATGTCACACAAGTCAAAAAGTCACCAAGCTTTCTCTAATAATGGTTTACCCGTGCTCGTGCTCACTCACATTCACACCACCCATACCTGCTGCTGAATAAAATCCAGGCTAGAACTTCCTTTATACTAATGTAGGTCTAACGTAGGTTTAATGATCTAACGAGGATCGCAACTAGGAATATCCTTGATGAATTCTTGCATATCTATCTGCAGTATCTGTGGTGTCTACCAAGGTATCTGGGTATGGGTCAGTTCCTAGTTACCTGGGTATGTTAGACTATTTCATAACTCGGAAGATTTTCTGAAGATTCTTTCATAAAAATACTCTGTTACTCATGTTACACCAAGTCATCCGTACGGATTAGGGGGGGAACAGTGAACATCTAAATGAATATCTAAATGAACATCTAACGGAACATCCAACTGAGCATCTAATTGGACATCTAATTGATCATGTTAAAAACAAGGACCCCTTACAGAACAATCTTTTTTTTCCCTTGGATTAATTATAATCTATAAAAACTACATCAAAAACAATATCCGTCAATCTCTCCCATCTCTCGCTAAATCTCACCTCTTTTCGCCATGAATCAACCCCTGTGTAACTCTTTCACATCAGGCGTACATGCATTCACTCTTGTATAATCCTAACAAATCTACTAACCTACTCACTAACAACTTGGCCTTTCTTGTCTCCTCATCCACACAACACCAACATCATCGGCATCAAAGACATTTCATCATCGTGACCTTTTTTGGATCCTCGGACGGACAGAATAAAAAAAAGCACACTTAACTAGATACATATCCATTGCGCATACATACATACATAGTACATACGCTACTGGGAATACTTGCAGAAGTGGAAATATTGATCGTCGTCGGCCCTTTCGCTATCAAAATTGGGGGATAGCACTTTTTTTTTTTTTTTTTTCATTACCCGTCCATACGTGTGTACATCTCTCTCTTCCCCTTCCCCTTCCCCTCCCCCGTTATGGTCTGTACTCAACTTGGAGATTGAGATTCAACGTGTGAATCATGTTGGGGGAGAAATCAAACGTTTGAATCATGTTGAAGGGGAATGGCACATTTGATTCATGTTGGGGGATACAGAGAGAGGTAAGGATATGGTGTAGATGTCACTAGATGACGATTCGATTTCGATGTCCTAGATACAGTATGGTAGATGGTATGTACATATGGACACTTTATAAATAAATTGGGATCAAATTGACGAATTAGACTCTCAAGTTGACAATGTCAGTAAATCATTCGAGTACTAGGCAGGCAACTCAATACCAATGAAGTAAATCATCTCTAATAACCCCTCTTTCGACCCTTCGACCCTTTCTCACAACTAATCCACAGCACAGTGAACCAACCATCTAGGGGCACGGAAGATGTCCAAAAACTACTTTGTACAGAAAAGTCCGGTAAGAATTGAACTGATCCCAGCCGAAATTCTTCAATAACCCTTACCCCATATGTCGTAGCGCCAGACTGACAGGTTCCTGTTCAGGGTGCTGTTGCGAATGTTGATGCTTTTTAATATGGAGAGGGAGATCAACAAACCAGTCAAGTTAATATAAATCTGTCTAGTCTACGACATGGACATTTCGGCATCTTCCATTCTCGAGACGATCTTAGACATTCTTTCATGTAGGTACTGTAGATATTTCGGTACATACTTATCTACAACCGGACGAGGACGATTATCATGATACCGATTCCTTAGAAGAGCAACCTCTTCAATTTCTCTGGAGATGAGACGGGTACACGGAGTATAGGAGTCGTAGACTCGATGAATGAGGGATCCAGAAATTGAATGATAAAGTACCGAGGTTATGACCCAAGCTCCCCCTCTCTCCGACCCAGGTCCTCCCTAGGTACTTTAGCTCATGAAGGCATTGTCTGAGCGAGAACTTCGCATCGGACCGTCTCCATCTAGGCTGATTCTAGATGTATCTGCTACCAAGTACCAGTTTCGAGCCAGTCTACCACGGACACCACGGAGCGGCCCTCAATCCTTAATGAGGCCTTTCCGCGCGCGCACCAACATCAACGTCCACATCTTGATTCTGGAGATCGAAAATAGACAGCGGAAACTAGATCGGATATAATATTAATCTCATGGTGGATGGATCAAATGGGACTCAAATCAAAGCTCACCCTGTCCATCCGTTTAAATGACCAATCCTTTTGAGTCGCACTTTAGTCGTACAATGATGACTACACGGTGCAGAATGATTGATGTCAAATTGTCAAATTGTCAAATTGTTAACTTTCGAGTCATTAGTTTTGTGTAACCCTTCATTTTTGTGTAACCTTTCACGCCTTCGTGTAACAGTTATCGTCTACACTTTATCATGTGATATGAATTGCTTCTTCGAGGAAATAACACCAGTCAGTAATTCTTTCGTCTACAGATATTCTTGACTCAGACCATTTAATTACTACCAACCCAATTTAGTAATTCACAATGCTTACTTTTCCAATACAATACAATAATACAACACTTCTTGAATCCTTCGCCCTATGATTCTAATTCCACGATAAAATTATATAAATATAAAAATATCCAAATACAAAAACAAAAATAAACTCAATAAACAACGAAAAATAACCATCAGGCTCACAATACCTACCTACCTACCATCAAAACCCAAAGTCTAATCCTCATCCCCTTCTCTACCCCACACCAAAGAACAGATCATCTATTCCTCCAGCCATGATCCCTCCCACGAACAAACATTCCCTACGGAGTAGACAAACCCCATCCACCCCGTCACAACCCTCCCATCACTGAAAATCAGACACCGAATAGACCGAGCCCCCAAGCTCCAATCCTGACCCGCTCCGCAGCCATGAAAGCCAAGCAATGCCACTCCGTCACTCCGTGCTCCTACTCTGCCCTGCGTACCTCGTACCTACCATAACCTTACGTCGTACTATTCGTAGATATCGAACCCAAATATTTTAACTTTCGCCTCCAGAATCCTGCGTATCTGATCCCCATCATGTCATTTGCCCCAGGGCCATGGCCCATATACTCCGTAGAAGATAAAGAAGGCATGGAATGGAATTCTTGGCATAGCATAGAACATCGTGATTGCACGTGTGTCCTTGAAGTTAAATTCATGAAGAGGGTATCTACCGCAAAGTTGATCGCGGCCGGTACTTCCGAACGAACATGTTCGTCTCGGTTAGAAGGTTTGAGTGCCGTGTTTGGGGGAGGGATGAGTCTAGGTCTAGCCTTGCTTGTGTTTTTGATATACTAATTTACTGGATATATGGGATGGATAGGTAGGTATGAACCGTATGATGATGTCCTTCACTGTGAATGATTTCACGCTGGTCTGTATGAATGCATCTCTCTATCTCTCTGTAGATCCATCAATATAATAAATAGTATTCAAAGTGCGAATTCCCAATTCCCAATACCCTATACATCAGCATCCGTTCCATCCCTCTCTGCCAACCCATCTCTTCCTCCCCCTTCCCTTCCTCAATCTTCCCCTTCTCACCTAACCCATCTAAAATATAAAATCTAGACCCCAAGACGTCAACTACGCAACCTCCATCCGTTCCTCCCCTCCCCAACCCAACTCTAAATCCATCAATCTCCACCTCCATCTCCATCTCATCCTCCTCCTTACCGTAAACATCCAATCACACCCACTTCCCCGTATCCCATAAACTTTATCCATCAACCATCAATCATCTCCCCAGAAACTCATTTCAATACACATACATACCCATACCCCGTCAAGCAGAGCAACGAGAAGGAACGAGACGAAACGAGACAAGACAAGACAAGAAGCCAGAAGGCCAAGCAGTTTTTAACTCACATTCGTACGTACCAACTATCAACTATCAATTTTAACCTCCGACCTGTAAGTTCCGAAATATTAACTTTGAGCCCCCAACCCATCCCAAACCCAACCAGTCCAGTAAATCAGCAAACTAGTACATCAGCAAACCAGCAGACCAGTAAACTTTATTCCATCACTACCGAACCCCCTAGAAAACACATCAACATCAACACCAACACCCTTCCCAAACAAACATACAAGCCACCTCTCTACCTCCCTAAATAGTAATCATCACCCTCGCTCCCAGCATCCAAACAACCCGCTGCAAATCTCAGCCACGGAGCCACGGAACCACAGGACAAGAATAGAGAAGAACAGAACTTTAAATGGGTAAATCGTTGAAAGGGGTCTTGTGATTTGCGTTCTCGGGGCTGGTTACGTAGTTAGGTATGCATTATATATGTATGTATCTATCTATGTATATATATATGCACTAAAGAAGGAGGCATACAAGGAGAGAAAGTTAGATTTAAGTTTGGAGAGAGGCGAATGCAATTTTAGCTTGGGTTAGGTGACTATAGGATCGGTGACTGGGATCGGTAGATGTGCTGAGTTTGTTTTGTGTAACATGTGGTTGTTTTTTTAAGGTTTGATGGGTGTTGGGGAGGTAGGTACCTGAACACCTGAATGAAAGGGTTACTTGTTCATCTGATCTGGATTCGGGGAGGATGATGAGGTTTGATTTGTTGATGAATGGGGCTGGAGATGGAGATGTGTGTTATATTCGTATATTGTATTTTAAATAGCTGGATATGAATTAACCGTTATATCATGAATGATTATGAAATACAAGACCTATTCCTGTCATCACATTTTATACAATACATTAGTTAATATCTCTTGCATTCTCTTATTCATCTCGTCGCTTCATCTATTCCTTTGTACAGTCCAAAATACCTAACTCCCCTGGGGCCTGTACCCAATCCCTGCAAACCCATCACTCCAAACTTCAAACTCCAAACTCAAAAAGTAAAACATTCCATTCTCTCAGCAGCACCCCAAACTCAAAACCCCCAAGATTTCAGCTCTCGAATCCCATCGAACTTTCACATCCGCAAATACAACATTCCCATCTCCTATCGCATGGACCTCTTCCGGATGAACGGAGATTACGTCAAATTCCCGACACGGAGTTTGGGGAAACTTAATGTCAGTCTGTCTTGGAGAATATCATGCCACTGCGAGACCTGGATGAACGGACTTCAGCTACGAAGGATGTCAGGGTTATGGACATGCATTATGATAGCGTATAGTGTGCGAAGAAAGTACATTTTTATTCTCAAGGCTCCGTTTCGTAGAGCCCTGGGTTCTATGAGTTCCCCTGGGTTTCTTTGAAGACAGGGACTTCCTCGTACGAGACAGTCTATTGTGCATTTTTCCTTATGTCAAGATGACCGTTAAGGCCCATCTCATTATGTCAAGATAGAAGTCACCATGCAGCGTTTGTTTCAATGTGACACAACCTACCGCCGCTGGTTTGGCGCCCAGATGTAATCTTACCCAGTCTGTAAACCTCCCCAATCCATGTTTACACGAGGGACACCGGGGCTGCTTCAGGGCTGGGTTCGCTCTCCGACGGAGTTATACACCGGATATAGTAACATATCATATCATGGTGCCCGATCATCTCGCGACTCGGACACTTCAACGTTTCCTTGGCGGAGAGTTGTCATCATCGTCAACATCACGGTGAACGGAGATAGCTCCGTCTATCAAACACGTTACGGGTACAATAGGTACTCACAAAACAAATGCTGACAAATTGTCAGCATCAGCCGCTCCACTGTAAGCAGTGAACCAAACTTTGGGGATGGAATGCGCATGGGTTTTTGCATTCTTGGGTCCAGTGGGAAATTGTCTAGTGAGGTAAGCTTACGCCTCGGTGTTCCCAAGAAATAATGTTTATTGAAGATATAATTGTTGGGTTTCTGGATATGGTATGATATGAGATGTGACGATATGTCACTCACTTGCTGAGTTAGGTTCCAATGTTTCGCACAGACCTTCCGCAGCATTGATGCCAATCCTCGCATTCTGTAAGTGGAATGATGTATGGGGCTGGGTCCCTTGACGGGATTCATCATTTGATGAACACAAGAAACAAACGGCTGGCTCTAGCTTTTGGGACTAACTAGGCTCTGGATAGCTTGTGAGCGGGTAGAAAGGGAAGGGATAGATACGATGGATCCAATGATCTCTTCCAATTGGGATTTGGATGGAGAACGATGATGATGCGTTGCGGAATCATTCCCCCATTCTTCAACATGCTGGATGCTTCGCAAGTTAAGTTACGAGCATCCGGATATAAAGTCCCCAATGTAGAAATTCTGGTCTGGTACTTGGGCAGCCGGGGAGATAACAAGCAGGTACGTACGTGTACTTCCGTGACATTCGTCTCGATAGTTCAATATAGAACCAATGAGATGAAACAAGGGGAACTCTAATCTCGAATGATTGGTGGATATCCACTATCGGTGCGAAATTGAGAAAAGGAGGTGGAGTAGCGAGACTGTGACTTTTTGTGTAACCATTGGCTTTTTCATGGAGATAATGGCTGATAAGGAAAGAATGGGGATGATCACGGGAAGAGAGATAGGAATTGACTAGTTGCAATTGATGAACCACAGGTTCATGGACGGCTGGTTGGTTGGATGAAATGATTCCTGATCGAGTGAAGAAAATAGAATGGCAAAAGTTCGGGTAATGCTTTGGACGGGTTAGATGAATGGATATCAATGGATATTCATGCTTACTGACGCTTATTGATTTTCAGCTTATTCTAGAACAAGGCAGAGAGATGGATCAGAAAATGGAAATGGTATGTAGTGATAGTTGAAAGGGTGCGAATACACGGGAGAGTAAGGGGGTCATTGAAAATCATCAATATCAATATCATCATTATCATTATCATAATTTCATATTGATTATCCTCATTAATTACATCCTCCTCTCACACACCCATGTCCTCCTGTCTATAAGCCCACCGTTAGAATCCCCAATCCTACCCTCCACAACATCCTACCTACCCTTCATCCCTATCCAAATGTCAGCACCTCATTCCCAATCCTTCCCTCAGCACCCTCCAGCCCGAAGCTAACACCCCCAATCCGGACCGACCAATATCAATATCGGCCCGTGCAGCTGAGAAATAATCTTACAGAAGTTCGTTCGTCAGCTTCTATCCCGTTGCCATGCATTTATTTACCTTCGGTTCCATGGGATCGGGTTCAGCTCCAGGGTGATATTACTGGTGGTACGAAAAGCTTGGGATGGATGGATAGGATGAAAGGATGGATAAAGTGAACGGGAGACGGTAGGGCCGTAGGCCGTGTATGTGTGATTTCGGGTTGTTTTCTACATGCTGATGCTTTATGCAGGAGTAGTGGTTGCATCGTGCTTGTGAATGGTTGATGATCTCTTAGAGGCATGGCATTCATTTACTGGGCGAGAGAAATGCAGGACTCACCCTTTTGGTTCACAGATTGCATACAGCCGATCTTTCTCACTAACTCCTTTTCTCCCACGCAGACTGTAACAAATGCATCCGCGTCGACATTCACATTGACATCTGCATGGCGCCCTTCACTAGGGAGGAGATCTCGTGTTGTACGAGACTTGTTCGTCGGTTTCCTGTTTATCCTGTTTCCTGGTGATTCCAATTACTTTTGCCCTGTCATTTCCATTTGCTTCCATGGTTCGTTTGTATACAAGTGCTGACTGTATTTTGTACCAGTACTTTGTTTCGTATGATGAAATACAGTAAATGTACGTAGTATGGGGATGAGACCAGCAGGAATGGGGGATCGCCTTCGCTAATTCGGTCTTAAGTTCCGACGCCGATGAGAGGTGGTCGGTTTCGAGACGAGGAGAGTGGGATTTGGGGAGGGGGCATGTTCGATGGAGGAGCTAGTGGTGAGCTGGAAATTGCCTTATGCTGCTGCGTTGTCACTGTAAGTCTTTGAGCTTTGCAACGCTCATTGGTACATGCAATGAAATTGTAATATGGACGCAGAAAATGAGGAGCTGGGTAATGGAGTAAAGTGGAGGGCTGGAATGTGTCTACCCGTGTCCACGCCACAACCCCGCATTGTATTGGTGTATATCTCAGGAGAGGTTGAATCTATGAGGCAAGGATGTCGCATTATTCTTACCAAACAGTTGAGAATACTGAGAAGTTGGTGACAGGGCAGAGAGGATGTAACGGATGAAATATCACATGAAGAATAGATTCTAATACCTGGGTAATCTGAATTGAAGCTCTAGGTTAGAATATCAATCCATCTACGATAACCTCTTGAAGACTCATGAAAAGTAGTACCCCTTAAATCAATGCAATCAATGCAATAAATGTACATATAATATAGAACAACAAGCTACGAGGGCGTGTCTTTGATGAATACCGGGCTGAAATTTAAGCGAATTTCCTTATCAAAATCATACTTTATTCTATATCTTTATAAATAAATAATAATTCAAATATTTATTATAAAATTTTAAAATTTGAATTATGAAAAAAAAATTTAATTAATAATTAATTTAATATCAAAATTACTAATTTTTGAACCAAATTAATAATAAAATTCTATATAGAAATTTGATTCTTAAAATAAACATTATTTCTTATAAAAATTTTAAATATAAAAATTTAATATAAATTTTAACTTAATTGAAAACTTCAATAAAAAAACTAAAATTATATTATTAAATTTTTAATGAAAATTATTACTTTTATAAAATTTCAAATATATAATAATATTGATTGATTTAATATTGAATTTTAAAATGAATAAATTTGAATGAGTTTTGGTATGAAAAAGTACTTGTGCACAAACCCGGCATTTATCAAAAACACGCCCTCGTAAGCAACAAACTAATCAGTGACATCTTTCCCATCCCTTGATCAAGAATCTTCAAGTGAACCCCGAAATCATCGCTTACTTACTCACTCACTCATCCATCCATCAATCAACACCAACCAACCACCTCCCACCCGAACATCTTGGCAAGCTATATCACCCCAATGACTAAGACCAAGAACTGCATCCCTATCACCGTAACACATGGCCACGGGATCACTACACATACCATCTGCACGCTATCCACGAGTCACTAGCATGGCAATTCTCAACCCTCTCCTAAGGCTAATCATTGGCGAAACCGTATTCATGAGATGAAACTAAAACATGACCATTTGGATGATCGAAGGCAGGTGTCAATGCACAAAA